TAGTTTTGTTCATGGTATCAGAGCCTGGTTTCTAGGTCGGCAATAGACCAAACCGTTTCTTCAGCAACACTCTCTGCCTCGAGTATTTGTCATCCAGTGAGAACCGGGCTGGATGGGCGGAGGCGACTCCTTCTTGGTGGTGTACACTTTGTCATCTTTCTCATTGATATAGTACTGAAGATACATTGTATATATCGACGAATAGCCATTAACCGGAAGCTTCAAATCTCTCAAGACCAAGAATGCCTCCGCCATTTGCGTCTTCGGCACTTAGATTGCCACAGGACAAGACAGAATCCATGAATCGGCGTGATATTCCTCGCTAATCTCGACACCTTCTTTCCTCAGAGCGTTGCATACTTGAACCTGGAACTGGAGCAGTGACAGAGAGGGTGTCGGCGAGAGGAACAGTACGTGGTTGTCGCAGGGAAAGCTGTCGATGGAGGAGAACGCGAGTGGGAGAGGTTCCTACTTTGAAACGAAGGCCTTGACGGCGGATTCGAGCTTGGTGGAATCAACGATGGCGATCGAGGCGAGGGTTATGTGTAGGCGAGAATCAGTCTCGATCAACTTCGTGCTGACTCGTCGGCGGGCGAAGACGTTCAAGCTTTCAGGACCTGGTTCTCGAGCACCGGATCGAAGTAGAGTTCGATTGCATAGCCTTCCGACATCTGACTGTGTCGAAATCTGTGATCGTGGGAAGAAATTAAGAACGACCCCCAATCGGAGACGTGCGAGTTATCCAGACGAGGAAAAGCGAGGATTTCGAAGAACTGCAAGAACCCTACGAAAATAAGGGAAATTGGGGATGGCCCAAGTGAGATTTGGAGTGCGGACTACGGGGAAAAAACAACAAGGTGGGGAAATTGGGGATGGCCCAAGTGAGAAAATGAAGGAAAATGGAGGAAAATTTACAGAGTTGAATCAGAAGGCGAGGAGTAATGGTGGTGAAAGGCGGCGAAAGTGAAGAACCAAATTCAATATTAATTTTTTTTTTTAAATTGTCCATACATAATTCGGAAATTACACGCATTTTTTTATAGTGTGAAGAAGAAGATTCTTTATTAGGTACGCGAATATTGTGACCGTTTCATGCACGTTTTTTTTTAATTTGATAAAAAAACTACTCTTAAATTCAAAATTTTCCAAATATTTATTTTAATTGTTAAAATTAACAGTATTTGTATATATAATCATCATTTTCGTTTAAAATTTTTGGATTCTATTAACTAATACATTAGTTAGGTAAATATTGTAATTATCATAGACGTTAGCGCATTAGATAATAGAATCCGAAAAATTTTAACAAAAATGATGATTATGTATCTAATTACTGTTAATTTTAACAATTCGTATAGATATTTAGAAAATTTTAAATTCAAATTTAGTTTTTTGTCAAATAAAAAATACGTGTATGAAAATGTCACATTTACCTAGATATCCTATTTATTAAAACGACAAGATTTTGTCAAGTTATAAAATTTAATCATATGATACTATGTTTAGATATCCTTAAAATTCCATCCCAAATTCTAAAAATGATAACTTTTTTTAAAATTACGTTTTTTTATTCACTCAAAATTTTCGATTTGTTTTATTTTTTTTTGGTAACGGATTTGTTTTAATTTATATGTTTATATTTAAGGTTTCTCCTCCTTTTCGTTTCCCTTGGGAGAATTTCCTGATCGAACTTAGGATATGAAGAATAAGGAGGTTTATTTTTTGTTATATGAAAAAAAAAATGGATCCTTTGAGCAATAATAATAATTATTAAGTACGGTTCAGATAAACGGTTAATCTGCTCTCAATTTGGTTCTAAATTCTATTTCTTCTGAAATTTTATTTAATTTGAAATCATATCAATACACAATTTTCGAATTTTGATAAAATATATAAAATAAATTTTGATTCCCAGATAATATCATGAATTTTATGAGAACTAAAAAGACAACAGTTGAATCCATTTCTTATTTAACATATAATTTTTTGAAAGTTTTTGTAAAATTTTGAGTATTTTTTTAGAGTCGCCGTAAAATTCATGATATTAATTATGAATAATAAAAAATTTTGGTATTTTTCTAAAAGTATTAAAATCATTATAATAATTTCGGAATTGATGATAAATTCATTTATTTATACAAGACTAGGAGAGACCCGTGCGATGCGCGGGTTATTCATTTTTTTTAACAAAAAATGTTTAATCTTTCGTTATAAAAAATCTTTGATATAAATATTGTAAAAATTATATTATTAAATCAATATATATATATATATATATCTCTGTAGAGTATTTAAATTTCATTGTATTATTATATTATAAATCATTCTTATATTGAATAAGTTTGTCAATGTAATTGTATATATTTTTAACAATGAAGTGAATGAATATGCATTCAAATCTAATACAAACATATTTCTGTCTTTTTCTCCATCCAATCTTCTTAGATATTTTTTTTCAACTTACTATATCATACAACTTGCTTATTAGTAAACTGGAAGGTATTGATCCGTGAAAGTTGACAATCGAGGAGAAATTGCGTTTTGGATTAATGTGCACAACGATCTTATCATGCACGTAAGTATTCTGTTTGATCTTTTTTTATTCTTTCCTTTAGTCTTAAAATGTTTTTACATTAAATTGCATTCTTTTTGTAAACATTTCTATCATATGGGATTTCACAAAACAATAGAAAGAGGTTTTTGCTATTCTCTTAAGGTATTGAGCTGTTCTTACTTACTTTGAGAACAAAAATGAGATACTAAATAAAGAAAAAAAAATCAATGTACTTTTCATTTATGTTTTGATGTTTCCGATACTTGGTCATCTAGTCCCGCCTGCATACAAGATAGGAAGAAACATGGTGAGGGTTGAAACAATACAGAGTTTTATCCTTTGCATTCGTTTGTCTCGTCCTATATAGATATAACTTTGTACTATAGATAACCCCTACAATTAAAAGTTCATATCGGGGATTCTTTCCATATGTCTATAGATTTTATATTATGACCATCTTGATTAACCTCATGAACCCTTTTTCTACTTGCAATGGCTCAAATTATTGGTCGAACTTTGATGGAAAACACTGAATTTTTAAAATGTCCATCGAAAATCTAACTTATGAATTTTCATATTAACACATTTATTTATACTTTTTTCCATAAAAATATCGAACTTTTTAATTTATTTTAGATAACATTATTAATCGAGTTAGCAAAAAAAATTATAATTTTTTTACAGTTTGACTAAGAAAAGATAAAAATTGTAATTAGAGTAAAAAAATATCATACCTCATATTATTTTTCTTCTCTCTTCCTCTTTTTTTCTTTTTTTCGTATATTCGCCTTACATAAAGTCATTTTTAACTTTTTAAAATGATTTATTATCTGATATATCTTTTTTCATTTTCTCTTATAATATCAATATTTTGCAAGTCCTTATCTCAACTTATGTTTCCTTGTGAAGCCTATTCGTTTACAAATATTTGAAAATAATAAAAACAATTTTCATTCAACGTTTTGAAGAAAATAAGAATAATAATTCTACAATCTTTGTAGAGGTTGTAACAAATAAACATTTACAATACAAAAAATAAATACATGAACTTAAAATTTTATATAATATATTTTTATATTTATATAAGGAAAATAATTTAAAAATAACTAACTTTGAAAAATTCTAAATAAATAAACTTAAAATTTTATAAAAAAAATACATGAACTTTCTTAAAATATATCCATTCGAACATTATTAATCATTTGATTGGTTCGATAGCATATTACTACCATGTGAGGAAAAATATAAAATAAATATATATACATACATACATACAAATATGCTACATACATACATATATATGTAACATATATACATTTGTATATATATACATGCATATATTTTTTTTGAGAGATTTCAATTTTATTGTCTTCGTTGGTTTTTTTAAATTTGTAAATGTGTAATTTTTCATGCTTGCATATATAAATACATAAAACCAAAAAATTAACATAATACCAAAAATCAAATTTTTTTCTTCTTCGGCGGCTCAATGTCATTGTACAAACCATAAAAAGATTTGCATCTTTCTCCACGTCAACACGTTATGATGAAAAACAATGTTAAATTTCGAAGATTAATATTTTGAATATGAAAATTATTGGATAGAAAAGAACCAAAAGTGTTGGTTACAAAACATACCAAAAGTGATGTTTGTTTCAGACTGTACCCAATTTCATTAACGTGCGGGAAAAAATAACATAATGCACATCCGAAGAGAATGAAGAATAATTTTACAATTTGTAGTGTAATAAATAAACTTTTATAAATAACAAAGATATAATCTTTTTTTTCTCTATTTTTCATGAATTGAGAAAACACTGTGATGAATATTTTGACTAATAAATAGAAATATTAAATCACATATCAAAGATATGTCTCTTTCTCACCTCCTAAAGGGATTTGAGTACAAATTTAATAATGATAATACACAATACGAAAAAAATAAAAAAGAATCCAAACAATTATACAAAATGCAAGATCTTAAAAAACTAACAAAAGAATTAAAATTAACATGTCACACCGATGATGTATCAAATAAACGAACATGTCACACTAATAAATAATTTTAAAATTATTTCGAGATAAACACATACATATATATATATATATATGAGACACTAATAAAATTAACATACCCCCTTTCATCAAGGCCTTGCATTGTTTGTAGGAAGTTAATCTGAAATATATAATTGTTGTCAGAAACACTATCTACATCGTCAGTTCTTCTAAGCATTCCCAAGTACTCGTATACTGGAGACCTAACAGGAATGTAGTCCCATGATCTAACTCCACCAACCCTTTTCAATACTATATGCAATATAGATGAGTTTATTATGAGAATTTTAATTTAAATTATTTTATTGAAAGTTGATGTAGGTAATGAAGATTTTATAAACCAATCAAAATTTATTAAACATCCATGTAGGATGATAAGGTGGTTTCACCATAATCCTTCAAACCCAACTTTTAATATATATAGATTTTGTCTTAAAAAAAAAGACAATTGGTCGGTATGGATAACTAATCCTTAGATGTGTAAAGTTTTGTCTTTTAAGTTTGACAAAAGAGGAGCTTTTTTGGAATCAAGACATGGCGGCGATGATGTCTCATCAGTTTCGGATGTCTCTTCTTTGGCCTTTCCCCACATCACCGAGTAAAATCCCATTGATATCAACGTCCCTCCGATCAAACTGTGGGAGTAAACAACATTAACAGACCAATCATAATGAGAAGATCATATATAATATTATATATATATAACCCCTTGAATCATGTACTATCATTTGAAGGGCTTGTAAACAGGGGTGATCGGATTTCAGTTCATTTCACATTCCATTATTTCAATTTTAAAAATAATTACAATCATTTTATTTTTATTTTGAATTCCGTTTGTTCGGTTCTATTAGGTTCTATTTCGGTTTGAATTCATTTTCTATCGATAAAAATATTCATTTTCAAAGAATTTTTTTTATTTTTTGCTTAACTTTTTTATTCGATTCGGATTCGAATTTTTCAATCACAAAAAAATTGTAACCATTCACTTTTTATACCGGTTTCGGTCGGTTACACTTTTGTGATTCAACTCTGATCGATTATTTGGTTATTAATCAAATTGGCAACTTCTATATATACGTGTGTGTATATATATATATATGAAATTGATGATCTTAGGTTAAATTTCTTGTTAGAATTTTTTGTTCATCATAATTAGGATTTTCTTACCTTCCGAGATAGAGAGAATCACCAAGAAAAATCGCCCCCATGACTACCGCGATCACGATAGACAACGGCCTGAATATAGCTATGTACACAGGTCCCTTGTAACGCACCGCCCACAAGTGAATTACGTAGTATCCTGGATTCAGTATCCCCTGAAACCCGAATCAAATCAACCGGTTAAACCAAACCAATCTCTAACCGGTTATCTTATAGTACCGGAAATATATGTAATATGGTACCGCTGTTATAATGCAGATCGAGGTTATGTCGAATCTTATGGACCATGCACTTGGATTGTTCCTCTCTGCGATAACACTCACTAAGACACTTGAAATGCAAACAATCGCTGAGTAAATGAATGTCACTGTGAACGGAGACTGTTGTTCACTCATTATCTGTGCCTGTAACCAAAAAATTTACAAAATTGACTATATAGTATAAATATTTTCATACCCAGAACGAAAATATTTCGAATAACAATGATTATATTTTTTTTCAATCTCAGCTATATCAAATATTATCAAGATTTGTCTAATTTATTTAAAATTATTGAAAATTGTATTAATTTGAATGTGTATTCCCGATAAAACCAAACTATTAATGTCTCTGGATAACCATGTTTTTTTAGACGTCAGATGTGCCAGCAGTAGCGGACACTGGACAGGAATATTTATAAGAGGGGTCAATAATAATTAAAATATGTATATAAATATCAAAAATTAATAAAAATATATAATTACACGATTTTTTTTTTATGTACAAATAGATTTAATCTTAGTGGGAGCATTTAATAATTGTATCTAAAATTATGGTACCTGAAGAATGTAAGAGAGAGAGATGACGGTGTCTTTGATGGCAAGAAGGCCTCCTCCGGCGACCCAATTGGAGTTTTCCGGCGACGGAGAGAGGGAAATGGACGGCTGAGATTCGACGGAGAAGATCGGCGGTCCGTTGTAGAGAGCGGCGACAAGAGCTCCTCCTATCGACACCGCTGTCCCCACCACTTTCGCTACGCTGCTCTCTCTCCCCATCGATATTTTCTCCATTCTTTCACATTATTTTAATAATACAGTCACGTTATTATTATTATTATTATTATTATTATTATTATTATTATTTTAATAAAAAAAACTCCAAGAAAGTGATAAAACATCACCTTCATTTCTCGGTGGTGTTGACCATATAGAGTGTCACTTTGGAGTGTCTGGTCCGTGCTATTTAGTCCTATATGTATGTATATATATACATATATATATAAAGTGCATGTCTTTTTCTTTTGTTGGGTTCATTTCTTCCTTGATGATGATGATAACTAGAGAAATGTGGTCACAACTTTGATTTTGGGAAAGCTTTCAATTTTAACAGCTAAAACACAAATTCTCAATCTCAAATTGATGAATCCTCCTTTTATAAAAAAAAATTGATGAACCCTAAAATCTAAAAATCGACGCAGAAACAAATCGGTGGATATATATATATATGTATATATACCCGAAGATAACGGCGAGAATGAAGGTGAAAGCGGGCGTAACGTTGCTCATAGCCGAAGCTAAGGTCGGAGAGCTGAATTTGATGCCTGTGTAGCCCGTCACCAAGTATATGCTTCTGCTCATATAACCCAAATATTAAATTAAAAAAAATTATGATTTTTTTTATCACTTTCCATCAATAAATGCAACATGAAAACAAGATTCGGACTTTTTCATTTTTAATTAGCGACCTAATAAAGCTTACCCTATTTCAACCAAAAAAAATTTAAAATTCAACCAAAAAAGCTTACCCTATTACCCCAAGAAGCCCAGTTTTACCAAGAATTCTTAACGGAGGAAGCGACCTTGACCTGTCAAAAACATTATTACATATTTATTTAGTGATGAATATATGAGAGAGAGAGAGAGAGAGAGAGAGAGAGAGAGAGGGAGAGAGAGAGAGGAACCTGTGGGAGGAGAAGAGAGAAGGGAGAAGAAGAAGAGAGCCAAAGGCGTAAGAGTAGAAGAGGAAAGTGTAGGAGCTCATGCCCTTGGAAGAGGCCGCTTTGAAGAGAGTGTTCATCCCCACGTTGGAGGCTTCCGTCGCCACCATCGCCGCCATTATCACCCCGTCTCTCCCGCGGAACCTTCTCCCCATCTCTCTCTCTCTCTCTCTCTCAAAACCTTATCCTTATTGGCCCTTTTCGTTTGCAAAACTTATATTGATCATACAAATGTCTTTATAGTTCTACTTTTTTCATTATTTAATTCACTGTTCTTGTCTTTTTTTTCTTTTTCTTTTTATTCTTTTCACATTTTGGTGGGTCTACTTGTTTTGTAGTGGTTAAGAAATGGATAATTCCAAAAACAAAAACATGAAAATTACTAAAATGTTAAAAAAAAAATAGCATGTATGTGTATGTGTGTATATATATATATATATCTTTATATTTGTATATATATGTATAATTGTTATTATTTTTGGTTTTTTTATCTTATTTTTTGACGTCATATGTACAAAGTAAAAGTCGATCAGAACCACGTTATAAATCCAACATCCCAATACTCGGAATATTTGGTCAAAAGCCACTTCGCGGTAGCGTTTTACAAGTTCAACTTTTGTTATAAAACGCTTTAACAACTTGGGGATATTTGTAAACTTTTTAAAAATTTGAAGTTTTGTTTTTATATATTTTTGTAAGTTCAATATTTTTTTTGAAATTTATTTTTAAAAATTAGGAATATCAAGCCCGAAGAGTTATGGGTCAGGCCGGCCGACCTAAAACATAAGCGGACAAAAAGTCTTTGAAAAACAATTTTCAAACTTATAAATGATAAATTGTAAAAATACAAGGCCAAGGTAAACAAAATATAAAAGTTTTAGCACAACTTTGAGATATTAAAAAAAAGCAAAAGCTCGATAATAAAGTTCAGTACAACCGTTTCTAAGACTTTTAATAATTCTAGGAAAAAACCTACATAATAGAAAGACAGAATTTTTTCCAAAAAAATTCTTTTTTATTATTTTTTTTATTTTTAATTTTATTTTGGCTCGTAAACAAAAGCAATCTGAACTGAACTAAGTTTTTCTGATATGTGAAAAATGAATGCCAACCAAAACAAACCCAAAACAAGCTAATTCAAATCTATCTAGATAAAATAAGACCGAATCAGTCTATTTTGAATCTCTAATTAAACGGATCAGTTTAGTGAAATAAATATGTATATTTATAAATTCTCCTCCATATACATATATCCATATGTATATATATGTATACTATACACCTAGATATGCATATATTTGTGAATGTATGTATATATATATATATATATATGTGTGTGTTATATACCCAACAAAAAATAAATTAGGATTAAAATTTGTTCTTGTTCACGCACTAGCCCGTGGCCCATTTGGGATGGTTTGCGTGCTCGCGGTGAAGTGATCCGTTTGGTCCGTTTTTAAACGAACCGAAATAATCTTGAACCGGTTCGGTAAAAAGTGGTACGAGATGATAACATTAACTCGCATTCAAACCTTCTCTATCCTTTTTTTTTTCCAAACCCAAAATAACCCAAAATAACCTTTATTTAATATAGGTTTCATGATAAAAAAAAACTACATTGTTATTAAAAAATTATTTAAATTGTAGTAGTTTTAATTAAAGGTAAAATTGAAAATTATCTAGAAAATGTAGAATGACATCTATTTAAAAACAAAAATAATTGTTTCAAACTTCAATTATTATGAGACGGGTGGAGTATTTTGTATAAATAAAATAAATAAATGTATTGTTTTCTCTTGAAAGAAAAACAAAATGATATTAAAAGATATACAAACAGTACAAAATTAGTCTAATACATTATCTTGGATATTAAATTTTATTTCATTTTTACAATACACAACTAGTATTTTTTATTGTTTTATTTTATCCTTACAAATAAAATAACAACAAACTTTGAATAAAAAACAATATTTTTTTTATAATCCGGAATTCACCGGTCTTTAGTTCGACTACATCTCCCAAAAGATTGAGGAAGTCTATGTGAATGCCCCTTTCCAAGTGAGGACTCGAACCCGTGTTGGGTTTAACCCATTTGATTAATTTTCTTAAATGAGTTAAGTGGGTTTTAACCCATTCAACTCATGGCCATTTAACCCATTAAAACCCAGTATATTATCAACATTAACATTAGCATTAAGCCTATTATATAAGTAACTAAAATTATTATATATAGATATATAAATAGTAATATATGTCCGTATATATATACATAAATATATATATATATATATATGCGAACTAAAAAAATCTAATATCGGATCGAAAAGGTTGGTATCACTTTTGCACTACAAAAAAATCACCGAATTCCAACGGATTTTCCAACGGATTTGTCCGTTGGAAATTCAACGGCGTTTCAACTGCGATTTCCGTTAAAATTATGTTGAAATTTCCAACAGATATCCGTTGGAAATGCCCGTTGAAAATTTTTAACGGAATTTGCAACGTATTCAATTGAAAAATTGTGTTGAAAATTTCCAACGGTATTTCCAACGGATATCCGTTGGAAATTTTCAGCGGATATCGGTTGGAAATACCGTTGGAAATGTCCAACGGAATTCCGACGGATGTTGGTTGGAAAAAAATTCCAACGGAATTCCAACGGGTATCGGTTGGAAATTTTTTTGGAAAATTTTAAAAAAAAATCCAACGAAATTCCAACGGATATCGGTTGGAAATTTGGATTTTAATTGAAAAATCTAATATATATATATATATATATATATATATATTTAAATACATGTATTTTATATATTTATACGTGTATATATATATATATGTCTATATTAACCATATACATACACATAACAAATATATATATATATATATATATATATGTATATATGTATATATATATATGTGTGTATGTGTGTATATAAATATTTATATGTATAAACATTTATATATGTATATATATTAATGTTATATGATATCAGAAGTTTAACTTGGAGCAGTTGGATGATGATCAATTTGAACTCTAGGGTTAAGGACGATTGAGTTGGAGTAGTGGAAGGATGAGTGACCTATTGGGAAGTGAGCTTCGGGATCGGGATCGGGTCGGGTTTGGGGTCGGGGCTGGGGTCGGTTCCCAGTCGGGGTCGGGGTCGGGTTTACAGTTCGGGTCGGGATCGGGGTCGGGGTCGGGGTCGGGTTCACGGTCGGGGTCGGGATCGGGATCGAGAATATGTTTTGAATTTTTCGTTGGAAAATTCCAACGGATTGCAGTTGGAAATTCCGTTAGAAAATTCCAACGAATATCGGTTGGAAATTCCGTTGGAAAATTCCAACGAAAAAACTCGTTGAAATTCCGTTGAAAATTCCAACGGTTGTCCAACGGACACCGATTTCCAACGACGAAATTTCAACGGATTTATCCGTTGGAAACGTTAATTTCCAACGCAAATTTGGCCATTTCCAACGGATTTGCCCGTTGGAAATGACCATTTTTTTGTAGTGTTGAATCGAACCGAAACATTTGGTATCGTTTTTGAGTCGAACCGAAAAAATCGACACCGTTGTCAAATCAAATCGAAAAAAATCGATATCATTACCGTTTTCGAATCGAACCGTACTAAAAATTTTAAAAATCCGGTATCCGAAAAGTTGATATCGTTTTCGAACCAAACAAAAAAAATAGATATAGTTTCTAAATCGAACAAAAAAACTCATTATCGTTTTCGAACCAAACCATACCAAAAATTTCAAAAATCTGATATCTGAAAAATCGACACCATTTTTGAACCGAATAGAAAAAATCGATATCGTTTTTGAATCGAACGAAAAAACTCATTACTATTTTTGAATCGAACCGCACCAAAAATTTTAAAAATCCGATATTCGAAAAATCAACATCATTTCCGAACCGAACCAAAAAAATCGATATCGTTTCCGAATCGAACCGAAAAACTCATTATTGTTTCTCAACCGAACAGTACCGAAAAATTTGATCATCCAATATTCAAAAAATGGGTATCGTTTTCAAATCGAATCGGGCCTAATTAAGCGAGAAATGAGGTTACTGTGGAATAGACACGTATTTTATCCTTATATATAAATGTGTGTATATATATGTATAGTTTTCATATATTATTTATATGTTATTTATTTAATATTTTATATGTATAACGACCGTAACTAAAACCTGTAAACATAAAAAAATATCTCAATGATTATTATATTTAAATGATAAGTTTATTGTATGTTATGGATTTTATGGGTTGACTCAACCCATTCAACAATTGTTATTGACTCAACCCAAATCAATAATTTTTCAAACCTAAATGGGTTGGACCCAAATGGTTTGGGCAAAATCCATATTGACATCACTACAGATGGAAACTCAAACCTATATTTAAAAGGAGCTCTTTACCATTCTTTTGTTTCTTCTTGGATTTATTGATTTTTTTTTTTTGTACAAAAAGAATTCAATAGCTGAAAAGGGTTTATGAATTGGTCAACGATATCATTCCCACGAGGTGAATCATAAAGTTCCGAAATTTACAGATAACAATCGAGCATTGGAAAAGACAGAGAACCAAAAAAAAAAACATGGGAAGTAAAGAGCTAGAAAGTCTCCAGCCTGTGAGGAACTGGTGTCTTGATGACATGCAAAATCTGAACAATCTCCGCCATTGTTGGGCGATTTGAAGGTACCTGAGAAGTACAAACAAGAGCCAGCTTCAGAACTGGCAACACTTCGTCTTCGGAGAATTCATCCATCGTCGGATCAACGCATTCCAACGCGTTCCCTTGCTCTAACAGGACACGAACATGGTCGCTCAACACCACAAAGCTGTGTTCTCCGTACTCCACTGGTCTCCGACCGGTCACAAGCTCCAGAATCAGAACTCCGAATCCATAAACATCGCATTTCTCATTGACCCTTAAGCTCTCACACTCTAGTTCAGGAGCTACATACCCTAGCGCGTTCTGAAACCTATTGTTGTTCATCGTGTTTCTGTCGTGTTTTGTCAGAAGCCTTGTCAGCCCGAAATCCGAGATTTTCGGATTGTTGTCCTTGTCGAGGAGGATGTTGGTCGGTTTTAGGTTGAAGTGGACGATCGGTGGACGGAACGAGTGGTGAAGATATGCAAGACCCTTAGCTGTTCCGAGGATGATTCTGAACCTTGCGGCCCAAGAAAGCGGCGGTGAAGAAGGGTCTCGTACGTGTAACTTGGACTGCAAGTTACCGTTCGGAATATACTCTGAAACCAAAAGCTGCAAATCAGGTGTCCAGAAGTACCCTTTGATCGGTACGAGGTTTTCGTGCTTTACTTTCGCCAAGATTCGAACTTGTCGGTCGAAATCTTCTGGGTTATGCAGAATGGTTGAAGGGTCAAGTTTCTTGACGGCTAAGACGCTTCCTTCTTCTCCGAGTGTAGCCCTATACACAGTTCCAAACACTCCTTCACCGACTTCAGCAGCTTTGTTGAGAAAAAACTCTGGATTTCTCGAAAACTCGGTGGCCGATAATGAAGAAGAGGATGAAGATCTTGCATTGAGAAGAACAAGTTTACCAGCCGCCATGCTTCCTGATCTTGAAGAACCAGAGAAAATGCTCTCCAGAGCATTATCAACAAAAGCAAGCCTTCTCCTCACAGAAGCGTTAAGCAAGCTTATGATTATCACACCAGAAGCTATAAGTATGGCAGCTGAGATTGCGATAATGGCAGAAACACTTAGGAACATTCCATGATGGAACCTTCCGTTTCCCGAACCATCGATCGATCTGTCTCTCGGTGAATGGTCGTTATTGTTCCCATCGGAATTCGGATCGATGACCAAAGGCTTTGGCACGTTCAATCTGCAAGGTCCCTTCAACAACGGCGAACAAATTCCCAAGTTCCCCTGAATAGCGCTCTGATCCAAGCTCTGGAACACGATTCCACCCGGTAACTTTCCAACCAGACGGTTATACGAAATGTTTACTGCAAGTAAATTCTGTAACTTTCCGAGCTCCGGAGGTATTTCACCGCTCAGCTCGTTGGATTCCAGTTTAAGAATCCTGAGCTGATGCAAGTTCGAGAGGGATTTCGGAATGGGACCAGTCAGATGGTCATGGGACAAGCTCCTGTACAAGAATCAACAAAAACGAATACATTATATATACATATCCAATATACGTTCAAGAATGTCAAGATTGTTTGCAGACTTACAGAAGGTTAAGAGAGAGACAGTTCCCGATTCCCTCTGGTATTGGGCCGATTAACGAGTTACCATCCAACTGAAGGATTTCCAGACTCCGAGACTCGCATATGTTGGCAGGAATAGAACCGGACAAAGAGCTGTGTCTGAGATCCAAGACCGTCAGATTCTGGAGAAACCCTAGTTCCGGAGGAATTCTTGTCTGAAGATCATTCCATGACAAGTTCAGGTATCTCAGGTGGATGAAGAGCCCTACTTCACCCGGTATGCTTCCCCCGAGATCATTGCATGAGAGATCAAGAACACGGAGAGATTCGAATAGTCTTCTTGATCCTAGTGGGAGCGAACCGGTTAACCCATTGTGAGAAATGTCGATTTCCTCCAGACCAAGATCGAACAAACCATCGGGAATTCTACCGGTGAAGCTATTTCCTTTGAGCTGAATAACTGATAACTCTGTGCAATCTGACACAGAAGACGGTATCTCGCCTTTGAGTTGATTGTTCGACAAGACAAGAAACTTCAGAGATCTTAGGTTGCCCATTGAAGAAGGAAGCTCTCCAGTTAACGCATTATTGGACAGGTCCAAGTGTTCTAAACTTCTCAAGGTACCGATCCATCGTGGGAAATCACCGGAGAGCAAGTTATGGGATAAACTCAAGAACATCAAAGAGTTTAGTCTCTGAAAAGCGCTTGGAACTTCTCCAGAGAACAGATTATAACTCAGATCCAATCTGTTCAGATGCGGACAGGATCCAACATCTGCAGGCAATGATCCCGAGAATTGGTTGCCCTGTAAATTCAACTCTTTCAAGTTGTGCAAGGAAGATATCCCCGAAGGCATCGACCCGGAAAGAGAATTGTTCGAAAGATCCAATTTCCGGAGCCTCTGAAGTGTCCAAATGGCGGAAACAAAACCCGGGTTGCCCGAAAAACGGTTGCTTGAGAGATCAAGAGTGTTCAAAAGAGAACACTGTGAAAGAGAACTGGGAATTGGCCCATCAAGCATGTTCTTAGCCAGAGACAGATATCTAAGAGACGAGCAGTTTGTCAAGAAATCATCGGGCAGCGACCCTGAGAACGAGTTTTTCGATAGATCGAGAAACTTTAATGAGCTGATGGATCCAAGAGAAGCAGGGATGATACCTGAAAGACGGTTTTGGCTGAGATTCAGATTCTGGAGATTGCTTAAGAGACCAATCTCAGGGATGACATTACCAGTGAAGTCGTTGTCTGAGAGCGAGAGTACTTTCAGATACTGCAACTTCTGTATTCCACGACCGATCTTTCCGGATAAGGCTAAGCCATCAAGCGAGACTTCAGAGATACGACCAGTTACAGGGTTACACTTGATGTACTTCCAAGAACACGGGGAGTAATCATCTTCGTTCCAAGACTCGAGATTCGAAGAAGGGTCCTCAATGTCTGCTTTGAACACAATCAGACCCAGAACGTCGTCGTTTAGTAGCTGAACAGACCCAACATCGCCATTGACGACTGATATGGATAATGCAAGAAGTAACACACAAGAGATCCCTATGCCTTGATTGCCCATCATCTGCAATCTCTCTCTCTCTCTCTCTCTCTCTCTCTCGGCTAGGGAGCTAAGACTGTTTTGCCAGAGCAAGGGGAGGATAGGTAAGGCATGGTGAGATATGGTAGAGAGAATATTTGAGTTTAGTACCAATGAGAAGAATAGGTTTAGAGCTTGTGAATATTAGATGCTGAAACTAGCTACATGACAACTGCATGGAGTCACCAATAGGGTATGGTCCGGTTTTTCCTAACAAAAAGCAACCGGTTATCAATTTCATGTCCATTTTCTCTATCAATTACACATGCATGCTCGGAACTCATGAAACTAGGTTAAATTGTAACTTATATCATCTGTAATCATTCAAGAAAGGAAAAAAAAAGAAGTAACCATGCCCTCTTGTTATAATGCAGTAATCATTCTTATACGTATTAAATTTAATTTTTCAATATTAATGGAATGAAGGGTCTTTGTTGATAAAAAGAATGAGATAAATCACAGGAAAAGGAAAGAGATGAGATAAAAGAAAGGGTAAAGAGATAAGAGAGGCCTATGAAGAATCCGAAACAAGAAAAAGAGAGAAAAAGGACAAAAGTTAAGTTTTGGTATCTTACAGACAACAAGGGGCTCGTGACTGACATGTCCTTTGTCACTCCACCGCACATTTAGCTTTTTCTTCTTCTGTCTTTTTGTCCCGTGACTCTCTTGATTCACGTCTCCCATGCACATTTCGCTTGTTTTGTTTCTATATGGTTAGTGATATTAAAATTTCGAATCATGGTTGTGAATATAATTATCCTAATGCATGTGTTTCATAGTTAAGAGACAGATTTGGGTGTGGAGTGAACCAAAATCAAAACGAGGAAACAACTTCTGTTTGAATGTAATGCAACATGTGTGAACTTGGCAAGATGGCAAATAAGTGAAAGTATATTGATTGAAGTTGTTGTTCTTTTGTAGGGGACCATTAATCTTTATCATTCTGCTACAACAATAGTTTACTTCTTACAAGAGATTCTGCCCCTCTTTTCATTCACTAAATTTACAAGGCAATGAAATGAAAAGATAGTTTTTTTCTCCTAATTTTTTTTTTGCTTTCAACACGATAAAGGGTCGTTTGGTTCAGGCATAAACACACTTGTAATGGGGTCTGACATCGCGGTTTCGAACCAACTTCTCTATATAAAAAAATATGGGTAAATTCTATATAATATATTCCTTTCTCCGGCAACCCACTAGGTGGGGACTCGAATTGGATTGTTCCTTTTGCTTGCAACGTATATAATACCGGAGTATTATTCAAATGTGCAACTAAACACCCAACTTAGCAATTTTCAAGAGGAAATGAAAGGAAGAATCCAAAAAAAAAATATTACCAAGTGGACTAACCTTTGCGAGACTGAATTTGACCAACAAAAAAGTTTCTGCAAAGGATGTAGTCAGATCAAGAACAGAAAAGATAGAGAGAAGTAGGATGGTAAAAGTTTCAGGGTTTCTTCAAAAGTCTTAACCTTTAATTACCCCCCCCCCCT